CCATCAATAATGAACGAATTTTCGTTAATATCAAAATCGATGTGTGTCATATTGTCATATATATGAGTATATTGTCAAAATATAATTGATGTATTTTTCTTAACAACTTCATAATTATACCAGTAGGTAAGTCTTATCAAATGAGTAGATATTGAATTATTAAAAAAAAACATTGATTATAACATAATAGTTGATAAAATTATTCAGAATTGTATATTTATGAATAATTTATAAAGTTTATAATGCAATGAGTATGAAGATTAATTTTATTTCGGATGGTAAAATGTCTCTCAATATTTTGTTAAAAGACCCCGCACATTTCTTATGAGAAATGGCTTTCCTTGAATTTTGCCGAAATTTTGATATGTTGTAGTTCTTGATGTGCTGATTGAAAGTGTCCACAGCCAAAGTTCAGAATTGTACAGTTTTCGAGATGTAAACCTTTGAATATAGATTTTTTTCCATTTTTTGCAGTTTTTGGTCATCAATCGAGAGCTCTCACTTCTGGTTGGGATAGAATTTGGATGTTCAGCAACTAGAATTAGTTTCACGAATAATCTTCTTCAGTTATAATAGATGCCGCCATCGATAATTTTTCATACACTGCTTCACACTATCTGGTGGTGACATTTTCCTCAGATATGCTCAAAATGGATTATAGCATCTCACAGCATCTGTATCTTTCATACCTGAGAGTACTCTCCAGATAGAGTACTATTTTGCGCCGTAATATATTTTACCTAAAAATGGGGTGTTCCATCGCGAGTGGCGGACAGTGTATATCACTCATTCAGGTGATAGGTGCATTTTGAGTATTTCCATCAATCCTGAGAGTTTCATCGTTCTACCTCGAATATTACGGAAGATACGGGGGTGTTTCCATGAGAAGTGAGACAGACTGTATATGGTAAACGAAATAATGAATTTATTCCATTTGGCATCTACACACTGTATGTATTAAAAATATGTGTAACGTTACAACACTCCATACATTGGTAGAAGTAGCGTTTTGCCACGTTGTGAATACTTGTGGGTACAAATACATTGTAGTTCGAAAAGACATATATATTTCTCATCAGTTGAAGAAGACTGGATCAGATTCAAGCATTCCATGAACATATGCTTTCAGTGCTGTATTGTAAAAGCTCCATGATAACGATCAATTTTACATTTCTAACTAATTCAACAATTTTATTCATGAAAATAATTACAATTTTTTCCAATAAAGACTTTATTTCCGATTGAAAAAACTTTCAAACAATGCATTTATTGGTACAGATACATAGAGGGCGTTTCAACCTATATTACAGATACACATCGACAATTAAATTTATTACTTCAACAAATCAATTACCAACAAACATGATTCCGTAGTTTATCACAAACAAACCTATAAAGACACAACTATTAATAACCAGTCCAATCACCAACATAAACTAACAGTTAATCACAGACTCATTAGTATTCCTACTGAATTTGATAAAACAGATGGCAGTAAATAACAACTTCACTCCTGTCATGATTCAGTATATCCTTGACAAAAAAACTATTCTAATAAACCGTTGACTTTCAAAAACACGAACATATACAAGAAAAGCATCAGTAAAGATAAAACTACTGATAACACCTTAAGTAGACATATAAAAAGAATCCAAAATTGCCAAGGACAACAAATCGAGTGTCAACAAGCTAAAATGTAGCTCATGTGCAGAAGTTTATATTGGAGAAATATCTAGAAATTCCAAAACGAGAATCTCCGTAAACAAAATGGGTTTTGAATTGTAGAAAACTTCGACATAAACTGTGACGTACTACATACAGAATACAAAAATTAAACTTGCTGGAATTCTTTAAAATTATTAGAGGTGAACAATTAAATTTCCTTTAATCTTCCTCTTGAAGATGATCACTTGGTGATCGAAACACGTTTCGAGGGGTTAAAAATAATGGTTTTGTGTTGGGATAAAACTCCAGTAATATTCATTACTACACCAAAGGTTCGAAACAGTGCATCACAAATAAAATTTTCTATTGAAAGACTAACAAGTCCATTTCTCAGAATTGTTATATTTATTTTCATTGAAAGTTCATAAGGTTGAATCGAATCATTATTAACAATGAATAACCTGCTTTGTACGTGCTAGAGAACTATTCTCAAAATTACCTGTTAACCAATAAGTGATATCTATCCATTAAGGTCGATAAAATTTCTATAGGTTGTATTATATAGGTGTATGGAATTTCAGTACAACTGAGGATGCTTCTATCTGGTAAAACGCGTTATTGAAAATAAACTCTACATTGTGAAAATTTGTATTTATTGTCTCGAATATCTCAAAGTTTCTTAATTTGTAAAATATACAGTACTATGCAAATGTATGGAATAAATTCATTATTTAAAAAATAGGCGTCTTTTGGAAGAAATCCAAAAACACGTCAACTTTAATTTTTGACGACCCATCTCATGATATACATATGAGAGACGTTTCGTCACCGGTGTTGGCGTGATGACGTATTCGACATTTTTTCAAATGCAAACAGGTGTCACGTGGCACCTCCTTCAAAAGGTCTACTAATCGTCTATACAACGGTGTAATTATTCCAATATGTATTAATACAAGGTCAACCGAAATTATGTATTTAGAAGAATGAAATTACAATAAATACTCATTCGTTCAACAATTACGCTAAGGACTGCCACTGAGCGTAAAAATGAATGTTTGGGCCGGAATTTTGAACAACCAGATAATAGGGACATACTTTTTTTAGGAAAGCGTAACTGGTGCTTAGTATCTACACTTTTTTCGGGGTTATCACTACGCCGTTGATGTACGAACCTACCTGAATACTGTTTTCCGGAGTAGGTGAATAGGAAGAAGAGGACCGATCGAATGGCCACCAAGGTCTCCGGATTTGACCCCGTATATATTAGGAAACTTGTGGGGCATGCGAAGGAATGGTTTGAATACGTTGAATCATTTTTACCTAGTCTGAAGGACCTTTCATGTTCAGCGAACCGTTTTTGTAAATTTCAACCACATTGTCCCACATAAACACTATTACACTCCGGACACTTAAGCTTATAAACTCCAGATTTCTCCAAAGGTAAGGTGGACAATTTGGACAAAACGGTATGCTGAACATGAAAGGTTCTTCAGGCTAGGTAAAAATGATTCAACATTTTCAAACCATTCCTTGGTATGCAACCACAAGTTCCCGAATCTAAACGATACGAAAATTTTGCACTATGCAAGGAAGGGTTGCAATCTCAATTACTTAGAATCCTTGGAAATTCACAAGCATAAACATTGCAGGTGCAACCTATTAAATGATCAAATCGATTTAGTTTACTCACGGGTTTTCAAATTAGCATATCCGCATTGTCACTATATAGGGGAGACCGGGGCAAGATGAAGTTCGGGGCAGCACGGGAAGTAAGCTTGTGTGCGTGAATAGTAATCGTGTTCGGAGCGGCGACAGCGCCATTTGCACGAACTTCACTCTCCGCTAGTGTGTCCAAGCAGAGCGAACAGGTTAGAACTCGTTTTTGCGTTGCAGAGAGAAAAAAGTGATATTGCAAGTGTTTTTACGCGATATTTGATTCGAAAACTGATGTACAGACATGTAAGTACCTGTGTTAATGTATTATTTCAATCCCGAGCTTNCCTGAGAGAAATCAAATATTTGGGCGTCTACATAGATAGAAACTTAAGGTGGGACTCTCATATAAAATATATAATAAAAAAACTGTAAACAATGCTTCATAACTTCTGTTCCTTGAAAATTTACTTGTATCACAAAGAACTTAAACAATTATATAGTTCCTAGTGGAGAGCCATTTGAGATATGGTATAACAGCATGGGGATCAGCTCTGCGTGTACACCATGGGCATAATCGAATGATTCTGAGAATCGAATGATGAGTACTCGAGTGATCCCAAAAATCGAAATATCATTAGAATGAAATCACTCGGATACTATGTCATTCGTCACTCACCGATTTAATTCGAGATCTATTGTTTGGGAACATTTCGACAAAATAGAAAATGGTCAAGTTCAGTGTCGAATTTGCAAGAGAGTTTTTTCAAGTTTTTTGGTAACACCACCAATTTAAACCAAATATATTTTCATTTATGTGAGGACTTTTATTTTTTGTTTATGTTTTCAATAAATTTTAACAAGCCACAAGCAACCATTAAATTTCAATAAAGTTTGTACTTGTAATTATTCAAAGTTTATCGTCAACAAATTCCTGAACATTCTCAGCCCAAACCTGTATTTCACCACACCCTACAAACACGTGTCGGTATATAGGCCGGCACTGCACTGGTGCGTAGCGGCGCAAGACTAGAATACTGTTTTCGACTATTTCACTCACTACTAATTTGATTCGATACATACAACATTCGAATGATCTGAATCACTCGAATGATTCCACTTGACATCTCGAGATATTTGGAGTGATTGCAATAATCGAATGACCGATTATTTTTAATTCGAATGATCCCATCACTAAATTGTACACCTCAATCCCTTAGAGGTATTACAAAGGAGATTCATGAAGTTGATCATGTCTAAAAATTTACGTTTCTCGTCAGATCTCATTTATAGAGAATGTGAAGTTATGGATATGAGTCAATTATATTACTATTGTACAAACGTGAAGTATCATTTCAGCATAAATAAAGCATCACCACGACTATAACACACGACATTGCGACCAACTCGCACCTATCCTACTGTTAAAAAGTCAATTTCACAAAGAGCATATTCTTTCATGGCAACTAAATTATATAACACTGTACCTCACAAAATAAAAATTTTTTATTCCAAACCAATATTCAAAAAACAAATAAGAAAACACATTCTCGAAAAAGATAGACAATTAAATGAAAATCTGTTAGAGTGAAATAAGTTAGTCTTAGTCAAATTTATCCCAAAGTTGTGTCATAATGTATTGTAAGTAGCATAATCTTATCTATATACACAGATGCTAGCGAGTATGGGATAGCTGGACAACTTTTTCAAGTGAGGGACGGTCGTAAATACCCTGTTGCTTGGGCAAGTCGTTTACTGTTGGATCGTGAGAGGCGCTACAGTTCAAATGAAAAGTAAGTTTTGGTTGCCGTTTGGTGTATCACCCGATGGAGGGTCTATTTATTGGCACAACATTTTTACTTTAACTTACCTTAACACCTGTAGGTTACTTTCTCCTAGGATTACCCGTTGGGCCCTAGTGCTTCAGGAGTATTCTTTTAAGATTTATCAGGTTCCTGGTCACGAAAATGTTGTGGCTGATGCCCTCTCCCGACATGCCTGTGTTCGATTGCCTTCACCCTCTGACAACTATTTCAGCATTTTTTCTTTGAGGCTTCCGGATTCATTCCTAAAAAAAATAAAAACTATAAAAAAAATTCAGTCCGAGGACAGTAAAATAACACAAATTAAGAATTCCCTTCGGGATAATACCGAACTACAAAAAAGGTTTGTCCTCCATAATGATATTTTGTACCAAAGAGGGCTCAGTCAAGAAAATGTGTTGTTATATGTCCCGACCTCGATGGTGGGGGAGTTTATAATAAATTATCATATTGCCATAGGGCATTATGGAGTCTATAAAATCTGGCTGGCCATGAGAGATGAAGTGTATCACCCTAATTTACAGAGGATTATCAAAAGTTACGTGAAATCCTGTGACATTTTCCAAAGAGCAAAAATTTCCATCCTACCAGATCCCCCACAAAAGCAAATACTGCCAGAATCAAAGGATGATTTGCTTGCTTTAGATATTTTGGGTCCCCTAGTAAAGAGTCGTGGTGGTGTCTGTTTTATTTTCGTCATCTTGAACGTATTCACAAAGTATGTTACCCTTTACTCACTAAAGAAAGCCACTACGCGAGCCATGTTAAATAGATTAACAAAGGATCACTTCTCCCGCCATGCAAGGGTAAAACGTATACTTTCAGACAACGCATCAAAGTTCACCTCGACGTTATGGAGGGACACCATAACCTCATTCGGGATAAAATCAATTTATGTCTCAGTACGACACCCGCGCGCTAACCCATCGGAGAGATGTATGCGGGAAATAGCCCGTATTTTAAGGACATACTGTCACAACCATCAGACCAAATGGACTTTTGACTTACCTATTTTCCAGCAATTTATGAAAACTGTCGTTCATGAGTCCACTGGATTCACCCCCGAGGAACTTGAGTTTGGGGTGCCTCGAGAAAAGCTACTACCCGATCAGCTGGTGCCACCTGTTGGTATCAACCTCCCAGCAGGGGATAAACTCGTTCTAGCCCGGGAGACAATGGAGTCCAGGGCTAAGCGTAAAGCGATCATGTACCCGGAATGACCCTATCGGAAGTTCATTCCTGGTGACCTTGTTCTCTTGAAAGCGAACAATATATCGTCAGCCCTGAAAGTTGAAACGAAAAAATTAATAATACTTTTCGAGGGACCTTATCGAATAAAAAAATGTATTCGGGATGATACGTACCTTCTGCTAGGCTCGGATAGCGACCGCGAAAGAGGAGTTTTTCACGCCTCTCACCTTAAAAGTTATAACAAGCCGCCTTGACGCGTGTTTTCCATTGTTTAAAGTTTGTTTTGTCTATTTAATGTTCGAAATGTTTCTACAGGTGCCACTTTAACTTTTGTTTTATGGACACCTGTTTTTTGTCTGAAGGGGGGACGAAGATGTGACAAATCACATCTATTTCATTTATTTCCATTTTAACTAGTATCGTTTTGCCATCTGGTGAATTTTCTCTGTAACTTATCCGCCACAGTGAAGGCCGATTCCAGTTGTTTAGTTTTCTACCGTCCTTAATCATAAGTAGAGATGGCCCTCATGCCCTGCGGGATAGGCAACCAATATTTCATTTTGACGGGTTTTTTGCATTGGCAAAGTATTTCCAGGGTCAGGTTTTTTATGAACGACTGTCGAGATTCTTTTTCGTCTCTAGAGAGCTGAGTGAGAACGGTTTTTGATGCGCCATATTTGCTCAATTGTTCGAAGATTCTTCTTGTTTCCTCTTTAAAGTGAACTTCGTTCTAAATTACCTTACTGTGGTCCTTAAGGACAAGATTCACCGTCGAGTCCCGTACCTGTAATTATTTTAGGTGGGTAATGGTTTTTATTACTATAAACGATGTAACACGTGTGTGAAGTTTTTATTAACTACTTTTAACTATTTTATTAAAACATTTGTAATTATTTTAGAACTAAGTCAACAACCAAATAAGTACTCTGTCTCCCCCTCGAACTGAAAATAGATTGTTTCGCGCCTTATCCTGTGTCTCATTGGATCAGCAGGAACCCCTTTCAAAAAACCCTGAGATTGAACCCTTACAACCTGAAGGAGTTTGAAGCCTGTTCAACCAAACCAAACTACTATGGTCCGTAATGACAGTGAATCTAGAACCTTCCACATATGGCCTTAACTTTTCGATGGCCCAAAGAACTGCCAAACATTCTCGCTCTGTGGTGGTATATGTTCTTTCAAGACGAGTTAATGATCGCGACAGGTAACAAATAGCCTTCTCACCATCTGGGTGCAGTTGACTTAAAACGGCTCCAAGACCAAATCCGGATGCATCTGTTTGAATAATCAATGGTAAACTGAAATCTGGGCATGATAGAATTGGAGCACTGATCAAATGTTCTTTGAGTTTTTGAAATGCACAACCGCATTCATCAGATCACACAAAAGATTTGTTCTTTTTCAATAAAGATGAGATAGGGGCGACTAAGGTAGAAAAATTGGGCACAAAACGCCTATACCAGGAGGCTAATCCCAGAACACGGCGGACTTCTGAAACACTTTTTGGGACTGGCAGATTAATGATAGCTTTAACTTTCTCGGCGTCTATCCGTAAACCATTTGAGTCGATAACGTAACCAAGATATAAAAGTTCAGGTCTACAAAAGTGACATTTTTCTTTAGCTACAGTCAAATTTGCTTTTTTCAAACGAACAAATACTTCTCTCAGAATTTCCATGTGTTTTTCGAAGGTTTGAGTAATAATGATAATATCGTCTAGATATACAAAACAATGTGGTTCGAGATCAGGACCTAAAACTCGGTCTATCAACCTTTGAAAAGTAGCGGGGGAATTGGCTAACCCCATGGGAAGTCTGCGGAATTGATACAAACCACGATTCGGAACAGTGAAAGCAGTCAATGGCTTAGAGGCTTCAGTAAGAGGAATTCGAAAATAGGCAGATTTGATATCTAATGAAGATAGATATCGAGCATCTCTTAATTTGTCCAAGGTAGCGGAAATGTACGGTAGTGGATATGCATCTTTTTCGGTAACTTGATTTAATTTTCGATAGTCCACACAAAAACGATAGCTGTTATCCTTCTTTTTGACGAGAAGGATCGGAGAAGCCCACGGACTAACAGATGGTTCGACAATATTTTCATCTAATAACTTTTTTAAATTCCCGATCAATATGTGCTTGCATGTAAGGCGAAACGGGATAATATCGCTGTTTCAACGGAGAGGCATTAGTATGGATTTCATGTTGGATTAAACTAGTACACCCGAGCTTGTCACCCATTTCCAAGAACACTTTCTCGATGAATTCATTTAAAACTTTCGACTCCCCACTGGATAAATCACTGCGAGAATTTAAAGCAACCGAATTTACCTCAACCTCCATTTTATCGCTAAAAACCCACTCACCTCGACGTAAATTTGGAATTAACCCTATTTGTTTCCAAAAATCGACACCTAAAATCAATTTGTGAGGCAATGACGGTATAACTGAAGCTTTAATCAATTCAATTTTATTTTCTACCCTAATTGGTAAATATACGGTTCCTAAACTTAAACATTCATTACCATTCGCGACAGTACATGACACTTCTTAATTCAATATTTCCACAAATTCTATTTTTTTGTTTAAATAGCATGTAAACGGTTTTTGCACAGTTCACCTTAAGTTTATTATATGCAAGCCAATTTGAGTATTTAGAGAGATCTTCATTGACTGTGTTCTCCAGTGAATGTAAATCATATCCACTGTACAAAAGGACCGTGTCATCGACGAACGTGAAATATCTTCCCTGAAGCCCGGCCTGCCTCAGTGACAGAACCATTAGGAGCCCCAAAACGGATCCCTGTGGTACGGCACAATTATTTTTTATATACTCACCCATGCTCTCACCAACAGCGAGAAACTGGGATCATTCCTTTAAAAATGTCTCAATGAGAGAATAAGTTTTGCCCCTTATACCCATGCAACATAGAAGAACAGTATGGTCAACAACGTCAAATGCCTTTCTTAAATCAATGAACACTGTAATAACCATTCTTTTTTTATCCAATTCCGATGTAATATTATGAATGAAATCTTTTGTGGCGCTTAGAGAGCATCCTACCCTTGATAAAACCATACTGATACTCATCAAATCCTACAAAACGATCAACAAAATCCATTATTCTTGTCTTTATTATAGTTTCAATGATTTTAGAGAATGAGCACACAATTGTTATAGGACTATAATTTTCTAAGTTTTTGTCATCATCACCCTTAAATATTGGTATTACTTTTCCAGTCTTCAGTATCTCAGGAGATACCCCCGCTTTGAAAATATCGTTTAAAAAATTAACAAGTATGGAAATGACATTTTTTTCAATTAATATTATGTCTTTAACGGATATGTTGTCGTGTCCTGCTGCAGAGTTTTTATTGAGTGCAACTATGACTTCAGATACCTCTTTAGCATTGGTTTCCTTGAGGAATAATGAGTTGCTACACGACAGTTCTTCAAAATCTACACTTTCTTCTATATTAATATCTATATTGGAAGTGATTGATTGACCTATGCTAGTAAAATACCTGTTAAACATATTTGCCACCTCTTGAGGGTCAGTGATAGTTCTATCATCTGTAACTAATTTAATTGACTCGTTTTTTCCTTCTTTATATTTATTATCGAGTTTATTACTCTCCATTGTTTTTTTGCATTGTTACCTGCTTTTTGCCATTCTGGTTTGAAATAAATTGATTTTTGTTTCTTTATCTCATTGGTAACTTTATTTTTGAACACTTTAAAGTCCATCCACAATTTATTTATAGTTTCAGAACTTGGATTTGTTCCATTTATTTTTTTATATATACTATCTCGTTCTTTCAAGTTCAATAGACCATAAGTCATCCAATCATTCCCCCTTGCGATGTTGTATATTAGGTAAGTGTGATGTAATCACACTTAATATTTTTATTAACCAGGACATGATCCAGTAGAGAATTCCTTTTGCTTGTTTGTCTAGTCACATTATTCTGGTCAACTATGTTACATACTCTAAAACCACTCATAGTTACCACATCAATGTGTTCTTTTGTTTCCTCTGAATCTGCAGTACAATAGTTTTATTCTTTTTGTTACATAATATATTCTGAAACATATCAATAAATTCCCTAAACTTAATTTAGCTGGTCTATACTGCCACGTGCCAACAAAACAAAACGAAAATAACAAAAAAAAAAGAACTTATGGTTCTTAGTTATTTCTTAACAGGTTAGCTAATTTCTGAAGGGCTCGGTAACAGACGCTCAAGAGGCACGCGCAAAAGATTGCACGGCAGCTCAGTCGGGTATAGGGTGGGTTGAACTCAATTGCTACTTCGCAAAATCCGACCTGTTTTAATTTTATCTCTTGTAGAAAAAAGAAAGCTTTTTTTTTTCTTCTCCATACCGAGAACTGATAAATAAATTGTACTGTGGCAGCCCGTGATTTTTTATGAATATGGATCTGTCCACCAAGAATATGCAACCCATTTAACATCCGAGTTAAATGAACTGTGGCTACGATTCCAATGAATACCTAAAATAAAGTAAAACTGAACCCGAATAAAAAAAATAATTAAATGTATTTTGAACCGTTACAATACATACCATATATTTGCAGATTTAAAGATTTTAACGAAACTGCCATTAAATTATATTGATCAGAACCATCAACTTTTTCTATCACACTGAAATCAATATGTTCACAAATATATACCGAAACACCTCCAGCTCTTCCTTGCTTTATAATTGCATTATTCTTGTAATTTACTTCAGATATCAAATGAATGATGTATACATTGATTTTTTGTGCAGATCATAAAATTTTAAAGCACAAGTGAAAATCATTTCGACTAATTGACCAAAGTCTATCATGGTTTGAGAGTTTCCTAATTGGCCGTACTCATCAAGTCATGATAGGGTATGCTACATCTCATATAATCCAGATTCCATCAGGGGTACCACAAGGTACCCTGTGCACCTTTCCTGTTCAACATTTTCGTTAATGATACTCCTGTATACTTGGAGTAACTTTGAAGATGTTTTGATTCATAGTGTCGTTTAATGTTATAGTCTTTGAGAACAGCTATGGTTTCATTACAAATTAAACATAGCGCCTTATTACTGGACCCAATCACAAAATACTGAAAGTTCCATTTTTCTTGGAACGTTCTGCGTAAGTCAAATCAAAATACTTTTATTGACAGGTGTTACTTTATTTCACAATAGACAGTTTCGCTTCCTTCGCCTTTCCTACGCAGACTAACTCGCAGTTGCGCCGCTAGCCTTTTTATATGCAATTATTACTGCCATCTCGAGGTGATCAGAATACACTAGGTAGAACCAGAACTTTCTCGAACCAACGTAATTCCAAATATTTAATTACGCCTAATGCTACCTAGCGGGTAGCTGAAAAAGATAGTACATAGTACCACTACTCGCCACTAGATGTCGTTAAGTGTCACAATACACGATAAAAATTGAAATGCAAAAAAGAATAAGTTTGCTTAGGTCACGCACTTTCTAGAAATATAGTTAAGGGCAGAAATTGGCCCTTGGAACAAACTGAAAAAATCATTATGGTCCAAAGGCTTCAAAGTTTGGAGACCCCTGATATAGCCGAATGTTTTGAGAACACAGACTTTTTAATATTTGCACTCGGACAAGAAAAACCAATTAATATATGTGACTTAAGTTAAAGACCTAGGTGACCTTATTGATGAGCAGCTACGTTTTGTAGAACATGTAAAATATATTGCAGTCAACATTTCAAAACTATTAGGTTTCATTTCACGAAATTATAATCACCTATCTGTTTGATTTATATGACTAATTTACTTTTCATTAATAATCTCTCGGTTAGAATATGGATCAATTACATGGTCACTGTTTTATGGGAATCACCGCACCACATTAGAAAGGGTTCAGAATACATTCTTAAGATTTTTGTGCAAATAAAATGAACATGCATATAGAGAACCATAACTTTGTTGCAAATGCTCTCAACCTCAGTTCACCAAGTAAGACAAGAGAAAATCCATCTACATGTGCCCACTAGAGTTCTCAGAAATACCGATCTCTTTCACATGCCTTTCCATACCACCGACTATGGCATAAATTAATGATAGAAAATTGGAGGTTACTGGTATTACGTTATCTACATTGAAAAGTAGTCTGTGGTCAGAATTATAACATTTACCTGTGTATACTAATTTATTGTTCTCGAACTTAATTAACTATCTCTAGTTTATATATTGATCAACTGTATTTGTATTGTTACTTCACTCTATGAATATTATGTAATGGGGATAACCCCTATAAAAAATTGATAAAAATGAAAAATTAATAAAAAAACACCATACTAATTATTGTTTTACTTTGTGATGCATTGTATTTGTTTATTAGGTAGATGCAACACACAGAAATAAAGTAGTTGATATTTGATGCACAGTTTAGAACCTTTGGTGTAGTAATGAATATTACTGGAGTTTTTTCTCAACACCAAACCGTTATTTTAACACCTCGACACGTGTTTCGATCACCAAGTGATCATCTTCAAGAGGAAGATCAAACTTATCCAATAATTAAAATATTATTTTACAAGCTGTATTATTATTTTTACTTATTTCTACACTCTCATAGGTATCTCGATGCCTCTTGTTGTTAACTTGTCTAACTAATCTTAATGTCTATGTCTATGTAGAGGAGTTTGATCTTCCTCTTGTATAATGTTGAATAACTGAATAGTGATGTTCATTGTCGTACTGACATTTTTTGACATTTTAATAAACAAAAAATAACTTAACAAACCTTATCGGATTGTTGGAATTGCCATATAGCACGAATATTTTTAGAAATATCGATATTAATGTGTTTGTCTTCAGGAAATTATTAAATTTTCCTCCATTTTGCAGTAGGTGAAGATATTCACTTCATATTCTAGGCTTGTGAAGTATTCGTCAGGAGCTTCAAAATGATGTATCACAAGACCCCCCTTTCCATTTAATTTTTTTCATCTGTCAATTTCACTTCAAAATAAAGTATTCATGCATAAATTTCATTATCCCAAATTTAAAATTTTATTGAATTCTTAACAACCACATGGTACACCACAAAATGAACATCCATCAAAATGTAACAACTGCAGACCTCAACATTTATTTATTCATGTATACGGGTTAAATGCCTATGAGGGAAAAAATATATACAAACTCAGTAATACCTTAAAATTAACTCAAACTTAATGTATGTATAAAGGTAGATATATATCAATGTATATACATAAAATTTAGTTAAAATTAACATCCTAGCTGGTTAACTATTGAATTATATTGATACACTGTTTTTTGAAAGTATTCGGTGAAATTCCTGTAATGTCACAATTAAGATGGTTGGCTTCTCGCATAAAACTTGACATGGGTGAGAAGTAACCATAGTATGATTAGGGATAGTAAAAAGATCATTGTTCGTAGTTGAAAGAACAGGTACTTGGAATGAGACTTCACGACATAGATCATTACAATTAATGTTACCTGATATAATTTTGTTCTACAAAAAGAGTGTGAAGATTTGCAATATCAAGTATATTCGAATAATCATACTCTCTAACTGTGAGGAAAGATTTGAAGGCAGCAAGTCTGAGGAATCTATGTTGCACTGCTTCAATATTATTTGTATGTACTTTACTGGTATAATGAGAAGACCAGACTCGTCATGCATATATGTCATATTAAGGGTCTGTTCATCAGATGTTTAAGCCATAACTTAATGAATAAGCAGAAGAAAAGGAAAAAAAATCAGTATCACTTATCTTTATTTTATGAACTTTAATATTCATGAAAACAAATGTGATTTGACAAGAGTGTCAGTTTTCAGCGGGGAGGTGATTTTTCTTCATTTAAGTTATGCTTATTCATTAAGTTACAGTGTATGCATCCAATAAACCCATCCTCAATGGTTCAATAATAAATTTCATTTTCTTACCACTTCGCCAGCATTATTTGCAACACTAGATGCATTTTCATCTTGAGTTTCAGCAATGGTTGTCTCATTAGTCTTTCTCCCTCTGTTTGGTCTATTCTGGGACTGAATTTTTATTCCCTCTTTGATGGATTGAACCAGTGCTTCGCGCGAATGACTCTTATTTAGTTTTGCCAAAACTCTTTCCTGGTGAGCCTCATACTCATCTCTACTAGGATAAATTTTTGAAATCAACAAGTCAAAATTTGGGTCGGGCCTCAACGATCTTTTTGAAACTAGCTTTTTTCGGCATGTAGGGCATTCTTTATTTCCAGAACGCAATGCGGTGATGATACAATCAGAACAAAACCTATGAAGACATTCCTTAGTCGTCATAGTTTTTTTCAACATGTCCAGGCAAATAGGACACATCAATTCACTGTGCAAACTTCGAGGCGAAACGGCAATTTCAGTATTGTCAGTTATGGTTTCTTGTGGAGTACGGTGTAATTCATATAGAGAAAGCTCCCAATTCTTATTTAAACCTATTTGTTCTGAAGTCGTCATTGTCACCTTTATAATAATTTCTTTGTCAACCTGCTTTTGCGAACATTAATATAAAATAACTCTGAAGACTAGCGTCCGTTATACAAAATCATTAAATACTGTACTCTGTTTTCACTCCATACTTTTCACTATTACTATTTTCTTCTGTTATGATATATTCTTCTTCTTTTTCTACATTTTTTGGCCTTGCCACTTGGTGCATTAACCAAGACAAGATGTATAGAATATTCTTGGTGTGATTACTGGACCCTTTTCCCATGTAGAATATTTTGTCAAAAACTCTCGACCTATGACAATTTTGGTGAAGGAATGATAAAGAGATCCAATTAATTTCAGCGTTTCATTCATAAAGGTGCTGAGTTCAACTCAAGAGTCACAGGTTGGTTGAGTTGGCACTTCAATTTTCAATGTTATTTATTTTTGAGCATAAATTGATTTCAGGTGAAAGATTTTTTCACAATATGGTTCGTGAATCGAAGTTCTGAACAAAATACGTGCGACAGATTTCGAATCAAAATATGTTCAATGTTGGGTCAATCGCAGTTCTCGTGTCTCGTGGTTTTGACGAAAAAAAGCGAATTAGTGAAAACACCAGGGTTTCTACGTATCTTATACTAAAGTCAACTAATCTGAAATGTAAATTTGTCTCAGTCGAAAACCATAAGGAATCAGAACTTATGTTTTATGCACTTTTTGATTGAAAATAACCTCCCCTATAACCCTTTCGAGTATGATCCATGAACGGACACTGTGTGTTAACTTGTTAACTGCTCATTGCTGATGAAGTAACGCGGTATTTTTAAAATGATGAGATAAACATTCTCATGAAAAAATAAATATAACACCTATCATCTTACTATAATTTATTTTCAGAATCTGATCAGAAAATGTCACCAGAATATATAACTACCTATATCTTAATTGATGAGACATATCAGATTATGAAGACATGAAGAAATTTCAAAAGTCTTCATTACAAAAGCTATTCGAGGTCGTGTGGCTTGAGTGCTTGGCTGGACGAGAGAAACTGCAAATATTGAATCACACGTTAAAAGGTAAGAGCTCGTTAGTCCTTAGCTCGCACAAGTTTCTCAACTTCTGAGAGTTGTCGTTCGTATGGGGGCCACAGCTGATTAACGGAAAAACAGATTTTGAACAGATTTAAACAGAATTATTTTTATCGTCTTCATCAAGTAGTGATGCAGAAAATAATATAGAAATTTTTAAAACCATCAAAATTTTGGCAAATTTTATAATTCAAATCTAGCGAGTACAACTGAATGTAAAATTTTCACATGTGACACGTATTCAACATTATGTATATGAAATGGTAATTTATGAGACAAGTCCGAAAAATGCTGTATCCAGAATTCTAGAAGTCTAAAAAAACAAGTAATTGCTAATATTGAAAGGATTCAATTTGTTTGAAATGTTTGTTGTGTTTGCCTAGTCGGAACAAAAAACTTACCGTAAAGTTGACATCGAACACCAGCGCCCAAATCTAGCACCCGCCCTCCATTACCGATTCCGATTTACACCACACACAACTTATAGATTGTTGATTCATGAAGATCGCTAATTAGAGTTGTTTTATAGCGTTTAATCGTATTTAAGCGTGTAGTCATTTATAATAAGATTCACCTGAATGGAATGATTCAATTTGTGTCAGATACCAAATTCAATAATAAAAACAAACTTTTCAATTTTCTTCAACCTCAATTAGAATCGGATTTGTGCAAGTTTTGATTTTGCAGCATTATTTAGTACATCATTACAACATATTTGATAAAAACATTTCAGCATTTCATAAACTATAACGATCCAAACTGACAACTGACGTAACATAACATCAAATTCCGTTTCAAAACCAACCAGTGCATCCATGACGCAATCGGCGATCTTCGCCAGGTCGTCAAGGCTGACTCCTGGTTGGACTGCTTGTACGGAGACTGGCGTGGACGAGCGGATTGATCCGGTCCATCCACATGGCCCTGATGATGTTGACTGCTGAGAGACCTGCGAGCATCTGTAAGTGGCGCAGGAAGTGGGACGGCGTACGGTCGTCGCTGTCCTCTCGTTCCAAGAGTTAGCGCGTCTTGTGTTCCTGTGACTTCCTTAGGCGTCGCAGCAGCTCGTCTTTGAGCGGTTCCTACGGCTTGTCGGCTGACGGATTGAGAATTAGATCGCGAACCTTTCTGGCCTCCTGGGCGTCGAACGACTTCACGACCTGGCGGAACTTTACGATGCTGCTTTTGACGTCGGTATCTTCAAGAAGCCCCACTCCACCTGCTAGAACCGTACATCCAGGTCGTCGGGGGTACGGTAATCTGAGATGCGCACACACCACACACGCGGACTCGGAACTACCGTTTGTCATTGCGGCGGTTACTTGTACAGCTGCTCGAAGACGATATTGTCTATGTTCGAAAACGAGCGGAAAACTTACTTCTATCACTATCACTCATAAACAAAAAAACACACGATCTCGTCAGAGTCACCAATGTCGGGACTGGTGATAGGTGAATTATTAATCAGACGGATACAGCGTTTATTAATAACGAAATTCATTAACAACATCGACAAACCAAACACGAAAAAGAAAATTACAGGGTAACCTCGAGGAACTAACGCTATAGCTCGTTCAGTATTGATCGACGCAAAACGCCATTTTTTCATGGGTCTCTTCAATTTTGAGAACATAAAAAAGTCACACGGGGCCAAATCTGAATAATACGGTGGCGGAGGCATGATTACCGGGTTGTTTTTGCCCAAAAATTACGAACAAGCAATGACAAGTGCATTATTATGATGCAAAAGGGGTGAATTCTTTTTCCACAATACCGGACGGTTTCTTCGTATTGCTTCTCGCAAGCGGCGTAACTTCAAGTGATACTTCTTACTAACCGTACGACCATGTGGCAAGAAGTCCTCTGATGCACTACGCCACGGTAATCGAAAAAAACAGTGGGCAAAACTTTGACAATGGATCATACTTGGCGTGCTTTTATGGTATTGGCTCTCCTGGGCCAGTTATAACCCTCTTAATCAAATCTGGATCGCCGTTGAGGTTTCCGAAAAAGTTGCATGATTTGAGCCAACCGAAATGCCCACATCCTCAGCAACTTCTCAAATAGTGATTCAACCATTCTCCATAACAATTTTCTTCACTTTCTCAACATTTTCATCAGTTGTTGATGTGCTGGGGCGTCGTCATTAACATCTTCTCGACGTAAACATATTTCTGACTCACAGTACGAGGGTTCCTTTTATATTTCGGGAGTAGAGAACAAAAACAAATATTCATCATCGAAAATCACTTTGTTTTTCAAAATATTCCCCATGAAGATCTACACTTTTGCATGCGTTTGAACCAATTGTCGAAACACTTTTGCCACTCTGATTGAGGTATCTCCAAAACATGTATTCTGTATGCAGCAACGTTGACCTCTCAGTTTGTTTTTTACGCGCGGGAATAAAAAGAAGTCATTCGGTACCAAGTCAGGACTATATACGGCGGATGACTCATCAAATCGATGTTTTGGGTGCTCAAAAATGCATTTGTTTGAGCCGATGTGTTAGAGCTCGCATTGTCGTGGTGAAGAGTGATCCGTCTTCGGCGGTTGGTTTTCCTGATTTCTTGGAAGACAACTGATGGCGATCAAATGGTTGTGTACCACTCAGAATTGAATGTTCAGCGTTGTTCTAGTGGTACGGTTGCGACATGTCCAGTTTTTCCGAAAAAACAGGCGACCATTTGCTTGGAAGTGCTTCGTGCGCGAACAACTTTTGTTGAATTTGGCTTATCTTTAAACACCCATACAGTTGACTGCTGTTTACTTTCGGGCTCATACGCGTAAATCTACGATTCATCACCTGTCACGATGTCATAGACGTGTTTCGAATCACTGCGATCGTATTTTTTGAGCATTTCCTTCGACCAATCAACACGAGCCTTTTTTTGAGCGATTGACAAACTGTGTGTGATTCAACGCGAACAAATTTTTTTGACTGCCTGTCAAATGTTTATGCAACATTGAATGTATGCTGGTCCCACTAATGCCTAAGGTTGTCTCAATCTCACGATAGGTCACATGACGATCTTGCAATATTAGTTCGCGCACAGCATCAATGGTTTTCGGAACAACAACTGATTTTGGACGACCTTCACGAAATTCGTCTTTTGAGTTACTGTAAACAACACAAATAGCGCGCGTATATCAAAACGTTCTGAGTACGTATAAGCTCAAAAATGTCTAACTTTACGATAGAGCTGTCAGTTGCCAGATTGCAACATTAGGGTTGCCAAATCTCGAAACATAAAAGGTAACCCTCGTACAATCACCGTACATTTTTGAGTACCTTATTCCATTTTTTACACATAGTTTGTGAAGATTCATAGAACTTTCTTTGAACCTTTTCTTTTGATAGTATAAAATCTGTGAAAGTATGTTCGAGGCGAGTGAACCAACATAAAAACATTCGCTAATCGAATGTATACGTAGCCCGCGAAAAATTATGAATTTATTATGCTCTTCAACATAGTTTAATACGTTAAATGTTGTTCAGACAGTAATTTTCATCTCATTTTTTCTGAATAATAAAAGAAACACATTCGTTAAGAAAAAAACAAAAATAAGTTTATTTGTTTGTATGGTAATATATAAAAACAAAATATAAATTTACATTTTCTTACTAAAAAACAAGCGTATTTTATACATATGGAGGGAATGAGAATAATAGTTTAACTACTAATATAAATTTTCAATATTTGTTGAGAAGCAGCTAAGTGGTTAAAAGTTATTTGTCTAATAGGTACAATTTTATAAACACAATTGGGATGTGTTTTCCAATATGAGCTAGAAAGCAAATTTAATTTAGATAAAAAAAGTTTATTCCATACATAGATATGCATTAAGGAATGCTGAATATAGTTCATAGGTCACAATGAGCCATATTTCAGCCATACTTATATCACAATCAGAGGAAAAATAATGAGGCAAATAAGGTTTATGTTGCAGCTATTGAAATATTTGACATAAAAATAGTTACTTAGACACCATATTATGAAATGGATAATTTGAAAGGGTTATATTTTTAGGAGTGACTAATTTTTGGGAAAGAAAGTTTTTGGCATTCTAGTACTCCATCTTAATATATATCAAAGTAATATCAAGATGGAGTAGTAGAAAGTCAAAAACTTTCTTTCCCAAAAATGAAATGGATGTTTTGTAACACATTCAGTAGGACCAAAAAATAAAATTCCAACTCCTACATACCCATTGTTTTATGTTGTGACTATTTTCACCAATAGATCAAATCATAATTTGTATATTCTCAATATCAAACGTTATACAAAGTTTTATTCTGTATAAGTATCTAAATGATGGAGTCATATTATGAAACAGATGTTTTGTAACATGTTCTGTACATGATTTTTGCTACTGAAACTCGATAGGAGCAAAAAATACAATTCCTACTTCTCCATACTCATTGTTTTATGTTGTGACTATTTTCAACAATAGATCAAATCATAGTTGGTGATTTCTTAAAATCAAACGTCATACAAAATTTTATTCTAAATAAGTATCTTAATGATGAAGCCATATTATGAAATGAATGTTTCGTAACGTGTCCTATACAAGATTTTTGCTACTGACACTCGTTAGGAGCAAAAAATGCAATTCCAACTCCTCCGTAGCCATCGTTTTATGTTGTGAGTATTTTCAACAATAGATCAAATCATAGTTGGTATATTCTTAATATAAAACGTCAGAAAGTTGTATTCTAAATGAATATCTTAATGATGAGTGACTCAGAAAACCGTGAATTAAAAAATGCTGCCAATGTAAAAATTAAAGCATTAATGCAGAACAAGTCAAGAGGATTACATCAGGTAATGTATAAAAAATTCCAAGCATAATGTGATGTAACAAATTATTCTCCACATATCCACCCGCAAAATGATGTGTGAAATTCTAAGAATGGCCATTACTTTGCTCATTTCAGTACCATCAAATTTATTTATGACCAATTTCAAGAGTTTGCCAAAATACAAGAGCACCAAAAATAACTATTTCATTGTGTTTCGCCAATTTGCAGCTACCAAGGACATATCTAATTGTTTTCAACTTCAAATCCTAAATTATGTACTTACAAGGGTACACAGTTACATTTTATCATCCTTTAGAAATAATTGAATTGAAATGAACCATACATATACAATTCTAGACCATAAAACTAGATAATGTAATTTGCAATTCTTGGTATCATCCCTATGGTAGCCTTTGAATATGTGAAGTCCAATCATTTTAGTTTAAAGGCAATTGAACATCACAATAAGTTTGTATAATTTGCCAACATATCAAAAATAAATATTTGGGTGTGATTATCAGTCTCCAATATCTTAAATATACTGCTAGCCTTCCAGTTCATTACTATTGGTGGCAAAATATCTTCCAGAAAGTTTCATTATTACACATTTTAATTATGAATCTACTTCATTCAGCGTTTTTGCATTGGTCACTAGACTGGTTCTCATCAATTTAAATATCCTATAATGCATATTCTCTTCACTTTCTTGCAATGGACTTCTACCCAAAAAGTTATTTTTTCTACAGTTTGCTCCATTATCCAACAATATCTGTACAATTTTGACATCGTTTTTTATTGAAGCGTAATGCAGTGCCGTGTTACCTTTGAAATCTGGCTGATCAACGATACAGTCACATTTCACTAGTTCTCGAACTATTTGAATTCTTTGAAAGAGACATGCTAGATGTAAGGGTGTATAAAGAGTTTTATATGTTTGCACATTAACTGACGCTCCAGAATCTAAAAGCAACCTCAATAATTCAGATCTACCAAATTTTGCAGCAATATGCAAAGGAGTGTAACCATCTACATTGCATATATTGACATTAACTGCCTCAGAAAATTGAGATGTTGTTTTCTCTTCTTCTTGCAATTTTTTGCAAGTCTCACAGAAGCACAGTGGATGACATTTACCACTGTCAACAACTCTTGATTCATTGCAAAATCCTAAATAAAAACATGTTAGAGGAAAATCATTATATTCAATTGCCTTCAACAAACTGTTAATTTTTCTAAACTGTTCTATGTGTTTTGGGTGTTCTCCATGTTCACTTCTTTCTCCTTGTTGGATATCATGAACTGAAACACTCTCAGTTTCAGTTGATGTTTTTATTGAGGAAGTGCTTTGGAATGTCCCGAACTTTTCAAAAAGTTTGAGAATATAGTAATTTGGGGCTATATCTAATGGGGTGAGATTTTTTTTACTTTTAACAATTGCAGATGCTCCATTCTCTAGTAAAGCTTCAATAATTTCATAAAATCCCCAAGTTGTTGCTAGATGTAACGGAGTGTCACCATACAAATTACTGATATTCAATTCAACTTCTGACGAAGAATAAATCAATGCTTTAACACAACTTTCGTGTCCATTTGCACATGCTAGGTGAAGAGGAGAATTTTTTTCATTATCTCTAGCATTCACATTTGCTTTTCGACCTATTAATAGCAATAAAATATTTTGATATCCCTTGCCAGCTGCATAATGAAGACTTGTTTTACCAAAACAATCTGCCCAATTGACATCGAAACTCTGATTTAAAAGGTATTCTACCACCTCACACTTTCCTGAAATAGCAGCTAATATCAGTAAGTTTTGACCAAGTTCATTACAATTTGGAGAATTTGAACTCACCCAATTTGAATTCTTGTCATTTATGCTCTGGCATTTTGAACAAATACATAACGGGTGGCACAATTTTTTGTCTGTTGCAGTTTCAATTGGTATTAGCGAAGACAATTTCATATCTGTTGATGTCACTTCATCATGAAGATACTTTACAGCAAAATTATTAGAGCTAACTGAATTGATTTTTTTCTGTAAATCTAAAAACTGATTACTTCTCAAGAATTCAATAACTGCCTCAAATGTAGTGATAACAAAAGTAGTTTGATCACAAATTTCCAAAGAACTAAATCTGAATTCTTTCAGAAATGTCAAATTCGCTACCCAATTATTAATCTCAACCTTCACAAGTAGAAAAGCTAAAACTTGCAAAATATCATCTGTTGTAACATATGCACTTTTTACCTTATTTTGACAAAGAATATTGAATATTTTATTGAAACAGTCCACTTTATCCAACACAGTATGATAATTATTCAATTTACTCATCTCACATTTTGCAGCAGTTATTGTGTCCGAAAAATTGTCTGGTATTTCTAAATCCTGGTACTGTAAGGCATGAGAGTTTCTCAAGATTTTATTCAAATGAGAATCCTTTTGATGTTGTAATGTACTGATACAAAAAGATAATTTTGTTCCCATACAAAACTGCATGTAAGTTTCAATGGCAACTTTGAAATTTTCCAAAAAATGGTTACTTGACATGCACTTCTTCCTGATGACTTCATTTTTCAGACCAGTTTTCAAGCATTCTGAAAATAACTTTCCAATAAGTTCTTTCTGCGTTTGTAGATCTTCAATTTCTATTTCTCCACATCCTAAGGTGAACTGAGTTACGACATGTTTGACATTGTCCAGTATGTGATGTCCAAAACTTTCATACCATAAAAAGTCTATACAGTCATGAACATTCACCAATACTTTATGAGAATGTGCATGATAATAGTTATAAGAAGGGAACAGTGGATTATCTATACACCAAATTTTATACTTTGCAATCTTCTCAATGTAAAATGTCTCTTCAAAAAGAATTTCAATGTCATTAGAGAAAAGTTCCACAGAATCAATGTTGATGAGTTTATTTTGTACAAGAATTTTTTTTCTGCTCAATGTATAGTAAACATTTTCATCTTTGTCACATCCAGGAATTAAAATTTGATCTAATATTTTATCAGGTGTTAAATCACACGTTTGAAAAGTCCCAATGCGGGGAATACAAATTATCCAACTTTCTAATGATGCTTTCTCAAGAATGTCACCGTGGTTCTCTTGGATGTATTTGAGGAGAGGGTTCTGATTCAAATTTTCGTCATACTGTGAAGCCATTCTTTTCGAAAAAAAATCATCCCTGATAATACAAAATCGACGTTAACAAATACATTTCTTCAACAACTTCTTTTCTCATCACCAAAAACTAACTAAAACAATAACAAACATTGAAGTTTATGTCAAAAGTGGAAACCACAGTATTATGTGTTCTGTGTCAAAAGACAAAACCCATAAACCCGTTCAGTTTTAGCCCAGATCCAGTGTTAGTGTTACTCCAAAGAATTTGAAATAGTACACTAACCAATATTAAAATTATTATTACTTACAAACGGGGTTACCCACAAAATTATTAAATATTTTCATGAGTTTTGTTGGTTGAAGTTATGAAATTTAGCTTGGTAGCATTTTTATGATTAAATGATTAATTTCTTTTTATGATTTACCACTTTCAAAGCAGAAAATGCTTCAAGCGCATATATGCCGTACGCCTAATTGCTCGGGGCATCTTCGATCCGTGAGTTACCGATCATAAATTTCCAAATGATGAACATATCTTTGCCAAACAGCTTATCAGGTGCAAAAAACATTTCACCACGAATGATCACGAGTTATGAAAGGAATTTGTCTGAGAAGAAAAAAATCAATTAAGAAAAATATGATGAGTTAAAAAAACCTATTGAAAAATTAGATCGAAAATAAACGATGAGTACGGAATTTAAAAAATATAGAGATATTGAGTTATTGTGACCTGAAATGAAATGGAATGATTCAATGGGTCGAAAATATGTAGATGGAAATAAAGTTAAACCAGTTATCAAAAGAGAGCAATTGTGGGTACTAGCAATCGAAAAGTCCTGAAGTAGTTTGATTATTGAAAATATTCATTTTCATTTCGATTTTCTGATATCTTTTCATCATTTATCTTCACTATTTTATCCTAATTTTTATTGTTTACATTATTTTACCACTTTTTTGAGCATTTTTTTAAACTTACTCGTCGGAATATTTTGGCCCTTCTGTTGGTACACACAAAAAATCAGCTCTGACTAGGCTACAGTACCGCTTGATACGGTCCGCCTTAATATTGAAGGTCTCAAACTACCTTTCTTTAAAAGATACATCAACTCCTCGTCGTATAATTCAATAACATCTTGTTTGCGATGTGTGAACAATGAAAGAATCACGAGATCTGACCTCACGCCAGTCTCGCGGCAAGAATTTTTGTGGTTACCTTCATTGATCAAATTTGTAATTGTACCTGATCGTCTTACTTCAGCTTTCTGCACGGTATTAGCTGGGATAGTTGTTGTTTTTTCGTCAGCTATCTGCCACACGTACCTTACAAAGTCGTAGGTTCACATGAGAGGCAAGGATATGGTGTTTCCACCAAAACTTGAGCATATGTCACATGCACCTCTCCGAATGATATCCATTCATCATTCTGACTCCCATCCCGGAGTACCTATGTGTTTGTGGAATTGTTTCCGGGCTTTGTCTGCATGTGGCGCAGTGGTAAGTTCTACTGAATCAAATGCAGATAGAGCTAGCTCATGCCTAGTTGGAATTAATTTTGTTTGTTCGGGATACTCAGACGGTTCACTCCGTCTGAAATGACCCTTCCGCTACTGACCAGGAACAAGTATTCCGAAACCGGTCTATTGGTGGTTGTCCCTACTAAATGAAATTGATTTCTGCTTTTCATATATAGGAAGTTACTTGCGACGAATCTTTCAAATGGAAGACGTTGCACAGGTGCCTAATGGTTTAACTTCAGCTTTCGGCGTGACATTAGCCGAGTAAGTTGACGTTTTTCAGTCGGGTATCCGCCACAAGTATCTATTAAGTCGTAGGTTCACATGAGAGGCAAGGGTATGGTGTTTTCACCTGAAATTAAGCATGCCAATTTGCATCTCTCAATATTTCAATTTAAGAGCCACCGGTAGCTATTTCAACCTGTTGAGCATCGTCAGTAACGGGCAGATGCAATTTGGCATGCTTAATTTCAGGTGAAAACACCACACCCTTGCCTTTTATGTGAACCTACGACTTTGTAGATACGTGTGGCGGATACCCGACTGAAAAACGGCAACTAACTCAGCTAATGTCACGCCGAAAGCTGAAGTTAAACCATTAGGCTAGGCATCTGTGCAACGTCTTCCATTTGGAAGGTTCGTCACAAGTAATTTCCTATATATGAAAATCAGAAATTAATTTCATTTGGTGGGGACGACCAACGATAGAACGGTTTCGAAGTACTAGCTTCTCGTCAACACCGGGAGAATCATTTCAGACATAGTGAACCGTCTGANATATGAGTTGAGATTTTTCTTATCTTTAAAATATATAAAAAACATTTATTTCTGTTTTATTTATTCAAAACTCCAATATTTGATTTCTATTTGGGGTACTGCCTTGAAATCTACTTTGAAAACCTTCAAAACATTACTAAATGAAGCGATACAATGTATATTCATAATTTGCCAGTCCTAAAACTAACAACTAAATTATTCAAACTTAGAAATTTACTCGACGTTGATACGTTGTTCAAAACAGAAATGAGTATTTTCATTTCATTAGTTCGGACTTCCATTGTCTGATATTATATAAAATGATTTGAAATCCCCAAAAAACTAAAAAAAAAAAAGAATTAAAAAAGAATAGCTGAAAATAACAATTATATTGAGCAAAAAACCTGAAATGCGATAACAGTGAAATAAAATACAAGTAAAAATAGAGTAATTCAACAAAAAATCAAAAATTGGGAGATTCCAAGCCAAGTTACTTCACGACGTTTCGATTGTTAGTATCTACAATCGTCTTCGGGTGATAACTGGACTAATTCCTCCGAGAGATGACTACTTATGGGTCATCCAAAGACTTTCACTTATCTCCGCTTTCCTTTATCCGCTTCACCAGTTCAGTAGGAGATGACCGTTTGGCGGTAGTTGGTCATTTTTCGTTTGATTCTGGGGTTCCATATGTTGCGTATCTCTACGCTAGCTTGGCTGGATACATTGTTGGACAACATGTATTAGGCTTCTTTGAATTTCCTCCTAAACCAATGTGTTTCCCTGTGTATGATCTCATCTTGCGACCACTCGATGTTATGTTGATGGGTCCAAACATGCTCTGCTATTCCTGATTTACTGGTTTCCCCTCGCTGTGTGTGTTTCTTATGCTTGGCAATGCGAACATTCAATGGCCTCTTAGTTTCACCGATATATGATTCTCCGCACTCGCAGGGTATCCGGTAAATGCAATTCTTGGAATCGCAGTCCGCGTTTGGTGGCCTGGTTTTCGTGAGGCTGCTACGGATAGTGTTTCCGGATCTGAAGCAGGTTCTGATGTTGTACTTGAACCCAATTCTTCTTATCGTTTCCGATAATCCTCTGATGTAGGAAAGTGCAAGCATACATGCCATAGCCAACATATATATATGGAGTGGTTTGAAACTCTGGCTATTGAAGAAGCCCACAAAAAACCTCGTGTCTGGTTGAGTTACGTTGACGACACCTTCATAATATGGAACCATGGGAGTATTGAACTAGACGCCTTCCTGCAGCACATCAACTGCGTAAGAACTTCCATCACTTTCACATTGGAAAAGGAAGTCCACAATGAATTGACATTTTTAGACGTAGTGGTGAAGAGGGCCGACACTGAATGGGAAACATCTGTATATCGAAAACCCACTCACTCGGGACAGTATCTGAAACGAATCCAAACATCATCTTTCGACTGAAAGAGGATACATCAAGACTCTATCAGACCTTGCTTTCGGGCTCTGTAATACAAAGGAAGGTCTCGAGAAGGAACTAGACTTTATCAAAAATGATCTTCAACGAAATGGCTACTCCAAAGCGATGGTGGAACAGATTTTGGCTAGAAGACAGCAGGAGCCTCGTAAGGAAGAGAAGCCGTCACAATCACTACTTGCACTTCCCTACATTAGAGGATTATCGGAGAGGATAAGAAGAATTGGGTCCAAGTACAACATCAGAACCTGTTTCAGATCTGGGAACACTATCCGTAGTATCCCCACGAAAATCAGGCCACCAAACGCGCACTGCGATTTAAGTAGCTGTTTCAGGAGGACTTTCTTTCAGTTTGTGTCTGAAAGTTACTTCTCTGCATGATCTACACATCCATGTATAGAGTTACTTATTTTTAAATTGATTACTTCCTTCCATTCTTTGGAAGATTCCCTCATCCTTTCTTTGTTTTGTATCAAGATGGAGTAGTAGAAAGCCAAAAACTTTCTTTCCCAAAAATGACAAGAGATGTCAAAAAGTGTGTTTATAGAAATACTAAATGCATCTATTTTATTATGAAAACGGGACAGTTGTACAAAAAGTAAGTTTTATATTTTTTTTTGTGAAATTGTTCAACTCTACGCTCGTTTCGCGAACTTTTTCACTCACTAAATAAAATCTCAATACTCTTATCGTTAATAGCTCTTTTGTGGTGTTGATATTAAGAATACATTTCCATGTCCAGAATGTCATCGTCAGTTCATCCAGGTTTGGAGACCAGCTCCCCTACCATTTTGGCTGATTGTTGGTCTTGAGAGGGACCAATGGGTTCATGACCGAATAGGTGACGGCATGAAGTCCTTNGTTGATATTAAGAATACATTTCCATGTCTTTTATCTTTCAAAAACTTTTATAGAGTTTCAGCTTATAAACCACTGAATGTTGACTTTTTGAAGTTATCGTAATATCATATAACTTATTTCCTGAAATATTATAAATGACTGATAATAATTGACAATTAAGTTTAATAAGAAATGCTACTTTTTCAACAACGTCATAAATGATAAACAAATTTACGAGACTTGTGATAAGTTGGAAACAAAAATATAACATTGAAGAATTTTAAAATGCAAAAAATGGCATCAAGTTGACATGAAATAGACATGACATGAAACAGATATTAAATAGACATGACATGAAATGAAATTATGCATAAATTGAAAAATAAAGAATTGAATAAATATAAAAAAATAAAATCACTTTCCAATTAGGAACACTATAAGCAACTAGGACATTTTATTTTATCGTCAATTAAAAGAGAGAAAAAAGCCTATTCACAATTTAAATTACGTGGTTGTAATATCAAAGAAAAATGGAATGTAGGTACTCAAAAAAAGTGGATATGAAAAAAATAACCAAAAAGATTT